ATGTCGATGATGGGAGAATTAAAGTTCTTCCTTGGGCTACAAATTAGACAATGCAAAGAAGGGACATTCGTGTGTCAAACGAAATATTGCAGGGAATTGCTTAAGAGATTCGATGTTACCGAATCCAAATCCATTGACACACCGATGAGCACCTCTTGCTATCTCGACAAGGATGAAAAAGGTAAAGAGGTAGACATCAAACGCTACCGAGGTATGATCGGCTCTTTACTTTATCTTACTGCGAGTAGACCGGATATCATGTACTCCGTTTGTATATGCGCTAGGTATCAATCTTGTCCTAAAGAGTCGCACTTGGTTGCGATCAAAAGGATAATGCGATATCTCGCGGGCACGTTGAACGTAGGTCTTTGGTATCCCAGAGGTTCGACATGTCATCTTGTTGGCTATTCTGACTCGGATTTTGCAGGTTGCAAACTCGATAGGAAAAGTACCAGCGGTACTTGCCACTTATTCGGTCATTCGTTAATCTCGTGGTTTAGTAAGAAACAGGTTAGTGTTTCACTTTCCACCACCGAAGCGGAATATGTCGCTGCGGGAAGTTGTTGTGCCCAAATTCTTTGGTTAAAACAACAACTAGTGGATTTCGGCCTCATACTTGATCACATCCCTATTAGGTGTGACAATATGAGCGCTATCAGTCTAACGAAGAACCCTGTTCTTCACTCGAGGACTAAGCACACAGAAATTAGGCATCACTTCATACGAGATCACGTCCAAAAGGGAGATGTCACAATTGAGTTTGTGGAAACGAAACATCAATTGGCAGACATTTTCACGAAACCCTTTAGTAGGGAGAGCTTCTTCCACATTCGGAACGAACTTGGAATTTTGGATATCTCTATGAACTAATCCATTCTTTTTATTGACTATACTAATTTGAGCGTCGGAGGCGCGATAAATTCTTTTTGCAGGGCTTTTATTGTAGGTATCTCTTCCCTTGGTATTCAACCAAACTGGACTTGATGTTTTTTCCTCTGTCAACCAAGCTGTAATCGATTATTCCTCGAAGAGAAATCGATTAGTTGCCTCTGTCCCTCTTAATCGATTACTCGTTTCTTTTTAATCGATTAATATCCAAAAACGTTTTAGCGCTGATTCACCGAAATCGATTAAATTTTTTTTAATTAATCGATTAGACCCAACTGCCCAACTGAATCGATTAACCATCTCTGTTTAATCGATTAATAGCTTGAAAAGAGACGTTTTGGTTCTGCTTCTTCTAATCGATTAATATGATTCATTTAATCGATTTTGCCTCGGCTGTGTTCCTTAATCGATTAAATACTTTATTTTAATCGATTAATATTCGATTTTTAGCCCTATATCCAGCCCAGGCTTCGTCTTCTTCGCCATTCTCTGTTAAGAAATCAGAAACCCTAACACCTTCTCCTCTTCATTTCCTCTCAATTTTCTTCCATCTTCTCACCAATCTTCTCACCTAATTTCATCAATTTCAAAGAGGAAGGATGCCAAGGTGCAAGAACGCTTCCTCGGGTCAAGAAACCGCGGCAGAGGAGAATGAGAGGCCATGGCGTCGCTAAGGGAACAAGTATATTCACATTCAAACGGGTCTCGCCTTCAACACTGGAGCTTCCGTCGAGAGGTTCCACAACATCTTCCTCACGAAGGAGATCGTCTCTCCCAAGATCGTGAACAAGGACCTCTTCAAATCGGCGACCTATGCTTCGAGTAAGTCTATGTTTCTTCAGCAAGGTTTGCTTCGTTTCATTCATTTGACGTATGAATTTTTCTGTCCAAATCTTATACGTCAATTTTATGCAAATCTTCGTACCACTAAGGGAGGTTCGCCATCTCTCATTTCCCATGTTGACGGCAAAACCGTTTTCATTGACGGTGCCGGTTTGACTTCTTTGTTTGACCTTCGTCGTGGTGAAATTACCGAAAACTTGGATGAAACATTCCAAGATGAGGCAATTTGGCGACAACTCGGGTT